CAATGCATTATGACGTCATGAAATGCATCATTTTCTTCATATCCTGAACAATTCTACAAAAACTGTCAATTTTTAAAGCTATTTTTCGATATTTAACATAGAGCGCAATCTCTGATCTAAAATATGCAATTATTTACTGACAGAACCGTTTCTGAGGATTACAAAACATGTTTTATTTTTTAGATCAGAGGGTGCGCTCATATTATTTTTCATCTCTGAAAGTACTTAAATATACCTGTTTTCCTTAAAATTCAAGAACATTGCAATTCCATAAAGCTTGTTTTCCAAGACCTGGACTTTAAGGAGAAAAATTTTAATAGGAAATGAAAGCACTAAGTCTCTACTTTATCTTGATGTTTAAAATGGAACATAAAGTGTTAGTCAATAAATTGGTATATCTACAGGGCCATTTTATGCATAAAGTGAACTTAGCTCTTTGAAATTTTAGAGAAAATTAATTAAGTTTGTTTTTAAATTAATTAACATATATATATTTTTACAAGATCAGATAATGTATAAATATTCTAGTTATTTTTTTTTAAGGGTCAATACGAATACACAAATCCATAGAAAAGTTTCAGAATTTTTATTTACAGAATTTATTAAAAAAATAACAATTTTTATAATTATGAAAATAAAACACGCCTCCACCAAAAATATATTTGACCATGTGCACAGCATAACTTAAACCCATGTGGAACGTTAATTTAAAAAAAAGTGTTACAACTAATTCCCAATAAATTACTTTGAATTAAATTTATATGATCTTCTGATTCCAATCTGCTTTTTTTATAAAGTTATTCAATTAAATTTGAAAATGTATTAAATTTTCAAATACAGAAAAAAATATTTACCTACCTACCTACCCAACTTGAGATTTTAGGGTCAGGTGAGGGGAAACAGAAATATCTTTAATATTAATGGCCTAATTTTTTTTTAAATACAAGATTTTGAAGGGATCCTCTTTAACCTTATTTTGTTGCACTCTTGACTTCTGATGTTTATTAAAAAACATCATCTTAAATTCATAATGCAATCATTTTAAATTTTGTAAAGCAGTTCATTGTTTGAAAATTGGAAAACATTTTATTTTTTAAATACCCAGGGGCAAAGATGGTTTTGAAAGAAATAATTTTGAAAAAGGCATTGTTGCTCAACACAACTATAAGCATTTTATTTTGCTTCATACCCAGGAGCAGAGAGATTTTCAAAGATTTTAATAAATGCTTAACAATATGTATCACATACCAATAGATCCACAACCTAACACCAGAACCCCTAGCTGACCCAGGGGCCACCACACCATGCATTTAATATGTTTGCTGAATTAAATATCTTAGAGTAGAGAATAATGCTTTTCATCATATTTACCCTAAAACTCTGACCCTTGGGCCATGAATATCACAAATGATAGAGGGCTCAATGCCTATTACAATCATGTCAACAGTTTGATTTCCAGGAGTCCCACCCCTCAAGCCCAGAAAGGGGGAAGGGTTAGGCACCATGAAATTCAAAATTCATGTTTTCCTTTAACCATAGATGCTATATGCCAAAATTGGTTAAAATTGGATCAGCAGTTCAAGCAAAAGTCGAACAGTTTTTCGGACCCTCTCGTCTGCACCTTTGGTAAATGCTCCAAACTCCTAACATATAACCGGATTTGAATAAATTGAATCTACACTCCCTGAGGATGCTTCCATATAAATATGACCAATCATAGCTTTGCTGTTCTTGAGAAGAAGATTTTTAAAGATTTTCCCTATAAATTCCTATGTAAGACTTTTATCGTCTATTATTGTGATTCAGTCCTACCCCTCAGGGGTCATATATGATTTGATCAAATTTGAATCTACACAACCTGAGGATACCGGTACTTCCATTTAAATATGACCAATCATTCCTATGTAGAATTTTGATTGTCCATTGTGGTCCTGCCCTACCCCGTATATCTTGATTTGAAAAAAAAACTTGAATCTATTCTACCTGAGGATATTTTCATATTTTAGTTTCATTTTTTGCTGACCCAGTTTTGGTTCATGAGAAGATTTTTAAGAGATGCCATTAATTTTTCACTAATTTTTAAATTATCTCCCCTTGGAAGAGGGCGTGGTACTTCATTTGAACAAATTTGAATCACTTTCACCCAAGAATACCTTGTGGTAAGTTTGGTTGAAATTGGCCCAGTTGTTTTTGAGAAGAAATCAAAAGTGTGAAAAGTTTACAGATAGATGGACAGCTGGATGGACAGGTGCACGCTGGACAATATGTGATCAGAAAAGCTCACTTGAGCCTTTGGCTCAGGTGAGCTAATAAACAGTTAATTAGCAAATGCATTTAAACTATGATTAGATTTTTTAAAAGTTTAATTAAGTGTCATTAAAGTGTCATTTTGATATTCTGTACGTACATTGGTCTATCCTAGTGGTACAGGGGACATGACATTAGGGTTCTTATTGGGTATTGACTGATGGTTTGTGTACTGAAATGAACAATAAACCATTAACTTTTTATACATCATAAAAATACAATCTCTCCCTCTGAACTTTGCATGCATAATTTAGCTGAAATTAGTGAATTTAATTTAGATATTACCTTCAGTTGGTTTGATAGCGCCATACTGAACCTATTTAAGACAATTAAAGTGTTAATTTGCCCTTCAAAAATTTTTTTTTGTAGTTTACAAGTGCATATAAACCATATTTAGAATAATTAAGGTTGTATATGGTGTCCCTGGGGTACCTTGTGGTATCCCTGGGGTTCCTTGTGGTATCCTTGTGGTTCCTTGTGGTACCTTGTGGTTCCTTGTGGTAAAAAGACGTACCCCACTGAAAATGCACCCAACCCAACTTTTTTTTCAGCCATTTTGTATTATTATTTTTTTTAAGTTTCAGTTTTTCAGGATAATTGAAAATGTTCCATTTTTTATTTTTGTTTTTATCAAGTGAAGCTTATTTATGTTTAGTAAGCCTTGAAGTATGAATATCTCTATAATTTGTTATCTAATAAAAGTCTGAAAAATCTGATATCTAATAAAAGTCTGAAGCCCCAGGCCTTCCCACTGAATCCCTTAAATTTGGCCACGTTCAATAATGGTTGTTGTGTGGGACATGTATTGATTAATGATGAGAGCACAGACAATGTTTCATACTTATATGATGATAAAACGTTCTATTGTTAAGATGATACTCTCCTACAGACCTGGTTTAATGATAGAATGTGTATTAGCAATGTTATGTAGCAAAACAAACCGGGCAATAAGTATTATTTAGAGAATGAGACGGGTTCTGTATCGTAGATACAAATTTGGGGGTGGACGAGTGCATAGCACTAGTCTCCACCCCCAAATTTGTATCTACGATACAGAACCTGTCGAGTTCTCTAAATGATTTGTGACATGATCAATCAAGAAAAAGCACCGCCCACTTTATGGCTGTGCAGCATCCAAACTTCCGCCAGAGTATGTTTGTTCTCTCTGTAGATAAGGCCTTGATGGGGAGTATGCCTCCGCAGTAGATATATATTTCCACGGACAACGTTAGATTTAGTCAGATTAGTTTTGACAACGGGGTAGATGTAGTCTTAATTGATAAGGTGGACAATTTAACCTTGCTGTAGATGGAGACTGATCCTAATTTTTTCAGGGGTCTTAAAATCTCAGTTTAACTAGATACACATGCAGGCGAATGAGGCGATACAGACAGTTCTTCAATGAACTTTGATGTCACGGATTTTTATTTTCTTATTGAAATGTGACATTAAAAACGAAGAGAAAGAGATGTGTGGCAGTCATCAGCGATAAGAATTTAAGATGAAATTAAAAAAAAAAAATGCTAAAAATGGACTTGAATGAGTTTGCGTGAGAAGAGTAGAAAATGAGAGAGGGGGGGGGGGGGGGGGTGACCGTGCGAAGTTAACATAATGTATGCTGCACCCGTGAACCCTTTGGCTTAACTATTTTGAAGGGGACCCCAAAAAAGCAGGGAACCCAGAGGTTTTAAGAAATTTATTAAACATAGGATGATTTCCATAACTGCGAATTTTCCTTTTTGTTTGGATCGAAATAACATGTAGATTCTGTGTGGAATAATTTTTTAAAAATTGAGAAATTTTGATATTTTACATTGCTAAGGAATCCCTAGCAATGTAAAATATCAAAATTTCTCAATTTCCTACTAGGAATATATTTCTCCATATTTTGTAATAAGAAAAAACTCAGCATTTACTATTTGTACTTGCTTTTGATAAATTGAATCAGATTTATTTTTAGACCGTGCTGTATTTTAGATACAGAATAGTTGGCTAATACAAGACAGTATATAGGGTTAATACAGAATGGAAATCAGCTCTGCCGACTGTAGTCCTGTTCTATATTGCTAATACAGAATGGCAAACTTCAAAGAAAAACACTGCAATCATGTCATAACTCTAACTCTGGTCAGTGCATTTACTCTGAACAATTCGGAGATTTCTGTCTGTCAACATGGCATGTAAATTTGAATTGTGTAAAAAAACATTGACAAAAAGTGTTGAACTCTTACATTATATGGATTAATTTTTGGGGGTGAAAGGTATCCCTGTGACAAAAAAATGTTAACTTTGTTATTATTAACTTGATGATTATTTTTCAATGCAATTTCATTTATTTTCTCCAAAATCATTTCAGAGTGTTTCCACCATTTTCAGCTACATTGCAGGAATATGGAAGGCATTCTAACTGTGGTCAGGGCCATAGGGACTCAAAACAGTCTTAGCAAAATCGGGTATATAGTATACCCGATTTTGCTAAGATTGCCTCAAGTCCCTGTGGTCAGGGCCTGTCCCAAGACACAGTAACATTATTCTAATTATATATGTGTAAGATGTCTTTTTTTTTTCAAAATGGACATGATATTGATACATGTAGGAACTGGCCATCCCCAATAATTTTCCCAATACATGCTTTACTGTATAAAATATAATCAATAACCATATATAAGAAGTGAATTTAAATTAAATCCTACCTATTAAGCTGTTCAAACAGCTGTCCAAATGTACCGGTGGCGCCGGTACATTATCTTCCCTCTTCAAGTTGAGTAAGCTGACACAATCGGACTGCAACTCCTCTCTGAGGGCTTACTCTTGGATTCTGGTGGATTACCATAGAAGCTAAACTTCCGACATAGACCATACTGATGTCAGTAGTAAGGAAAATTGCCGATACCCTGATCAACACGATGACAGTAATATTCCCAAACTATACTTTCTCGTTTCACGGATTTTTTTCCCTCTTAATTTACACGAGCTCTATGTCCAATCTGTTCTTGTAAATTCCTTTCAATCATTTTTACTCAATTCACATGGATATTTGCAATGAACACCACATGATGCATCAAAATAACTTTGCAGAGTACAGCTTTCCATGGAGGCCGCCATTTTTTTTTTCTACCGCCACCTATATAAATTTCCTAAGGGAGATAACTCATACGAAGAATCTTTACAAATTCCAGATTTTTAACACCCTGTATCTTTTCAATCCTCCGTTTGCACAAAAATATTAGAGTAAATTTAATTTACACTTTCCATTTTCACTGTAATTATGTGTTTAGATCTTATACGTCTTCTTGGGTTTAGAAGAAATTATTTTCTGAAATATGCATTATTTACACACTATCCATACAAAATTACCCCTGGAGTACCCTATCCCTAGCTACATGAAAAAAGAAGAATTATAACAAATTCATTCGTTATCATTCATTTTAGACCCAAATGAATATATTAAACTCAGTTTTAATGAATTTGCTGATTATCGATGTAGCGCCTTTTCTGTGCTACCTGCATGATTTTTACGCGGAGCCCTACTTAAGCCCTCAGTATGTGTGAGCAGAATTTTTACCTAACTTTTTTCAATGTTTTGCGGTGTTATCTTTACGTGAATCTAAAGTTAAAAACACAACTATTTTTAATTAAGGAGATTGGATCCTGTTATCAAAAGTAATACCCGGTAAGAATTTTTAATCAAATCAAGTATATTTTTAGAATCTACACACAAAGCTTAATTAAAAATGACCTTTTGCACTATAATTACGTCTAACACATAAATCAATTTTTAAAGTTTTTCCTCCAATATTTTTTATCCAAATAAATTTTGAAAACAAACACAGTCTTTTTTTTCATCTTGAATACTCACAGTAAAATTTGTGACAACAAAATTTTCAATCACTTCGCATAGTCAATTATTTGGCCCTTCTGCACTCAAAAACTGTCATTTTTCTAGCATTAAAAATTAAACAAGCAATAAAATCACTTGAAAGTAATGGCATTTTTCTGAATTTTAAGCAGAATGATTAAAATTATCTTATATCTCGTATATACGTATATTCAGAAAATAAAAAAATAAAAAGTGGGGCTCTGTGATGTTAATTTTTAGATATTACTAAAAAGTGTTAATTTTTAGCTTAAATTGGATTATTTTTTCCCCAGGACTTTCACAATATATTTGCTATATTGCCAAATATGATGAGTGAATTCCAGTTGCGTATATTCCATAAAGACAAAAAGGCTGTTGCCTACACATCATTTTGTCAGGGATTAAAAATGTTGTTGAAAAATATGGGTAGAAAAGTTTCTTATAAATCTGATCTATTAATTTTATTTTGTTGCAAATGCCAAAAAGCATTTTAGCAACCACATTAATTTTTTTAATATCTTTTACAGCTTTACTTTGTACTTAATGACAAAATTATTCCTATAGTTGTTTTTTTTAAGTCGAAATTCATATGTGTTAAGTCTGTATCAGACAATTTCAAAACAAACAGGAGTCCATGATTCTTGCAGGAAATTAAGTTGCATGTAATTACTGGAAATATTTTTGGTTAGTAGGAAATTGAAGGTATTGTTCGTATTTGGAGGAATTTTCCATATTTTCTAAGCAGATTTAAAAAACTAAGTTGAGAGTTCTCAGTTTTCTTAAGTGGTCTTCATATCATGATATAAACTGAAAACATGTTAACAATATTAATTTCACTGGTCAAGTTTGCACGAAGGTGTCTTCGAGTTTGCAAAAATGCTCCCTCCCCCACCCACTCCTATCGAAAGGGGCGACCCGCCTTTTGCCTACCCACACTTTGCACCTCAGGTTGAATTAGCAGTTCTAAAGGAATATACGCCACTGAATTCATGAACCGTTAATTTAATATATAATTCAGGACCAGCATAAAACATTTCACTGCAACAATAACTCTGTGTGCAGGCTGAATGTAAGAATAGGAATCCACAAACTTAACAATACTGTAAATACTGTAAAAAGAGAAAAAAAAAGATCTTTTTCTTCTAAAAACCCTTCCGCCACAAAAATAGTTCCTCACTTAATGTTTTCGGTATGGAATTTATTCATTGGGATTTTAATGAATATAGTTTAATTAGCATTGTAGAATCCAAATTTATTGTAAGAACCAAAACAGTATGTAGAATTTTTTTTAAATAGAGGTCAAGACAAAAATCTGCTCAAAAACCTAATAATCTGACAAGCCAAAAAAAATAACTGTCCAAATCCTGGAATTTTCCAGTGCTCGACCTTACAGCAACAAAAAGTTTGGGGAGGGGGTCGGCAGCACCTAAAGGATAATTTGCTATATTAAAATACTATCCTCAGAAAAAAGTGAAGGGTCCCCCCTATCCCCCCCCCCCCTGAGGGATCTTTTTCGTGCCAGCACCTACTGCTACATGGTTTATGCGGTCTCATCCAAAGACTGGTCTTCACGCCGCACAATGGATTCAAACCCACGATCAACTTCTTACGTGTACGCTTTGACTATAGATCAAATTTCTTACCACGCGGGCGACTCCGTTTGAAGTGAAACAACAGGAAATTAAATGGAAAAAGAATACGAGTCTGACATCTGCTGTAGTCTCATATGTCAAATCTGTATTCATAATTCCAATATTCATGTTGTTAGAAAGAACATCACTCAGAATTTCAAGGTTGCTGACAATATATTTATCCCGTTACTTGGACTATTTAAAGGAAACTAAAGCAAGCCCATGCTTAGATTATTCAAATGCAGAATACAAACTAGCGTTTGTGCTTCTGGATGTTGGGCTCTGTAAGTCGCCACGTGTGTAGGACGATAATAATTTTGATCCAACCCATCGATTCCTAAAACTTAAATTTGCTAACAAAGAAGTAAATGCTGTGATCATAAGTAATATTCTTAGTCATGAAAAAGGGTACAGTTTTGCATTTCACAATATTTGAAGTTGAAGTCTACACCCTGCAATTCCTATAGATATTCCCAAACTGTTGCTTCCAAACTTTTCAATTACAAATAAACCTTACAGTGCCTAGATCCTGAACATCTAAAACAAAATCCACATATTAAGTTCCTCTTCTTTCAACTATAGTCCCGCTGGGCACGTCTTTAATGCTGATGTTAATTTATAGTTGAACATGAAGATCTAAATGCAATCATTTTAAAACGTCCTAAATACAGGGACCCTCGGTCTTTCAATTGGAGAAAGATCTTCGTTTCTGTTATTAAATCTGTCGAAGATTATGCCAGACGGTTGGGCGAAATATGAAGACCTGAACAATTTGTCAAAATGGAATAAGTTTTTTTTATAAATATATCAAAGAATCTTGTTAGACAGTTAAGAGGTAATATGTGAACTACATGGTCCATGTCATGGATCTACTCTTCCGTTTTCACTAAATTGGAGGCGATAAAAGAATTTTAAAAAAAGACTAGCAATATTCTTCTACTCACAGTTCACTTTCTAAGGATGAAATTCTTCAAAATCGCATTTCAGTCTTTAATAGTTTTTTACAATTGATTTAACGAAAGCCAGTTCGATCTAACCTACCTACGCTGGATTCCTAATGTCATAAAAGTCCTCACAAAGAGATACTATAGTACATTGCCGGGTCCAACAAATGCTCTAGCAATCCCATATCTTTTTATCAAAAATAATTAATTGCTCTAATTCAGGAGAACATTTAGACGTATTGTGCTACAGCATATTCTAGAAGTGGTGTAAATTAAATTTGGATTCTCAAAAACTTTTAGAAAATTAAAAGTCACGAAGTTTTTGAAAAGTCGTTAACATCAAAACGTATGAATTTTCTACATTTTATGCAACCATTCCTCAGGATAACTTAAATACTAGCCTTTTTGATATTATATATAGACAACTGCCTCTTCAATAAAAATGGAAATTGCAAACTTTCATATCATGTGACTGGTCATCAACAAAATAACTTTGATAAAAATCACTCTGGTTCTACACACAAGTATTCTAAAGTTGATATTACAAGGATACTCGAGTTCCTCATTGACAACATCTATGTATAGTCTTTGGAGACAGGTCTTCCAACAAACTGTTGTGCACTAATTGTGTTTCTTTATTACCCGAACTGTTTTTTTTTATATTTCAATGAAGCATATATGCATAGTTTATTAAAAAAAACTTCTACATGAGAAAAAGACAACACTTGATGTGACCTTCATTTCGACGACGTTTTATCAATGACTCGATATATCCCAGTGAACTCGTAGTAAAGGACACTATAGAGTCTGCCATATCGATTTCATATTTAGATGTTATAATTGACTGATGCACAGTTCGGGTTCCGTAAGGGATTGTCAACCACTGATGCAATTTTTGTTTTACAATCGCTTATAAATAAGTACCTGTCTGCTAAGAAAAGATTATATTGTTGTTTTGTAGACTTTCAAAAAGCCTTCGACTCTGTTGGTAGAATAAAATTATGGCAGAAATTGTTTCATTTAGGCATCCAAGGTAAAATGTTAAAGATAATTAAATCTCTATACAATAATGTTAAAAGTTGTGTTAAATACAACGGTTATCTCAGCGACTACTACCACAACGACATTGGTCTAATGCAAGGAGAAACATTATCACCAATATTATTTTCACTATATGTTAATGATTTCGAGGTTGGTTTTATATCAGATAACTGCCCCTATATTGATTTGCAGATGCTAAACTTATTCTTACTTATGTATGCAGACGACATGGTTATTTTTGCTGAATCTCCAGAAGGATTACAAAAAATGTTAAGCACACTATGCAGTTACACTGAAGAATGGAGTCTTTCTGTTAATGTAACAAAAACTAAGGTTGTTATCTTTAGAAATGGTGGTAAATTACATAATGATGAATCCTGGTTTTATAATAATGTTGAATTAGAAATTGTGAATGAATTTAAATATTTAGGTATTTTATTTAATTTTAATGGAAAATTTTTAAAAACGCAGAAACATGCTGCTGAACAAGGTAGAAAAGCCATGTTTGCTATTTCAAGTAGATTAAAGAGGTATGAATTCAATGTAGAAACTTTATGTTCAATTTTTGATACTTATATGTATGTAGTGTA